AAAGGGACTTATCTAAGAAAAAGATGATAAAAAAATACAAACAGTAAAGTGACAACAAACTCGTAAGTATCAACAACTGAACCTAAAAAATCAAAACCAAAAACAAAAAGGAACTAAGCAAACAACTAGAATAGGAACAGAATCACAGAGATGGAGATCATACGAAGGGCTGGTTATCAGCGGGGGGCAGGGTGGGGGAGAATGGGGGAAAAGGTACAGGGAATAAGAAGCATAAAAGGTAGATACAAAATAGACAGCGGGAGATTAAGAACAGTATAGCAGCCCTGGCTGGTGTAGCTCAGTGGATTGAGCATGGCCTGTGAACCAAAGGGTTGCTGGTCTGATTCCCAGTCAGGGCACATGCCTGGGTTGCTGGCCAGGTCCCCAGTTGGGGACATGTGAGACGTGAGGGGAAACCACACTCTGAAGTTTCTCCCTCTCTCTTTCATCTTCCCTTTGCCTGCTTCCCCACTTCCTAAAATAAAATCTTTAAAAGAAAGAAAAGGAACAGTACAGGAAATACAGAAGCCAAAGAACTTATATGTATGAGCCATGGACATGAACTAAGGGGGTGGGAGGGGGCAAGGTGGAGGGGAATAAAGGTGGGAAAATGGAACAAACATAATAGCATAATCAATAAAATACACTTAAACAAATAAGAAAATGACAATTAAAAACACACCGTGATATCATATTATACACTCAGCAGATTACGAGGTCTCTGTAGAAGACATCCAGCCATGTAACATGATAAAGAAACATTTACTAAAGAAGACACAAAGATACAAGAAACGCTGTACACAGGACAGTGACTCCTCAGCCCTTCAAAGTAGGCACTTTGAGACCTCACACAGTTCTCCCAATCAGTAGCTGTCCTGCTGCATTTTCCTGAACTCATTGACAGTCTAAAATCTCTTCCCTTTCAATGGTGATTTTAGTTTTGGGAAAACCCAGAAGTTGCAGGGCACCAAATCTAGGCTGTAGCAGGGCTGAGTCACCTAAGTGACTTGATGTTTCGACAGAAAACTCTGCAAGAGATGTGATGCACAAGTGGGTATGTTGTCAGGATGAAGGTGCCAATCACTAGTTGTCCATAGTGTGGCCTTCTGAATCATTCAAATAGTTTCCCCAGAGGGATGTTCAAGCTTAATGCAAAATCTGATACAGATTAATTGCTCTACTAGCTCAGTCACTGTGAATGTGATGGCCACACAGTACACATGCTCAATGGTGTCTACTGCCCCCACTGACTAGTGCAGTGAAGTGGTCATTGTTCATGCACGTGCATTCCATCCAGTCCACTCTCCTTGGCTGCCAGGTTATACTGATGTCATGCCAACTGTTCTCATTATGTTAACAATAGCTGGACTTTTTCCAGACAGACCTTGTATTTAAAATCTCAAGGAATGACAATGCCAGTGTTGCCAAGAGTATAGAACAATAAGAGCTTTCATAGATGGTTGGCAGGAATTTAGAACAGTACAACCTCTTTGCAATGGTGGCTGGCAGTTTCTGGTAAAATTGAACATGTACCTACCCCAAGACACCACTGTTCTACTCTAAGAGAAAAGAAGGCATATGTCCAACCAAAAGACTTCTACAAATATTTTCATAGCTGCTTTATTCACAAAACCCTGAAACACCTTGCGTTTCTATCAACAAACCAATGGATACACAAGTTATGGTATATTCTACTCGGAAATACAAAAAGGCTGAGGGAGTCCCTCTCCCACACACCACAGATGCCATCTTTCTTGGGTGGAACACTCCCTTCCTAGACAGTGGCCTGGGGGGAAAAGCATTAGTCCCACCCTCTGGGCTCTCCCTAACCCCATCATGCAGAGCTTGTGCCATGAGGAGTAGTAGCTTCCCTGGCCAGGGTATAGAGGTCTGGGCAGACTCAGAAAGTATCAGTGACTAAGCTATATGGCTTTGGAATAGATGGGCCATTCTCCTCAGTTTCCCTTGAACTTACTGGTGCCCCCCTACCCCCGCCAACGCCACCTTCCAGGCAACCAGCGACCCCACACTCCTGACTCCTGGTAGTTCCATTCTGCCGAGGTCTGGATAGAATCCAGGACAGACTAAGTTGAGTGGCACTGAGGCAGGGGCCACGACCCTGCCTTCTCCCAAGTCTAACAGGCATCTCCCCTCAACAGGAGACCCACTAAACCCATCCTCCTGACTCCCAGCACCTTTGCCCTGCTGAAACAAGGCTCCTGGCAGAATTGGGAATAGACTGAGCTGTCTGGCTCTAGGAATGGGGACCATTTTTTCTTGCTCAACCAGTAAAGAACACTTCCTTCACATGGCCAAATCTTGGTTTATTTGGGCACAATGCACTCTGTTAGCCCCACCCTGATGACTTTGTGAGACCCCACCCCAGCACAAAGGTCTACAGACATTGGCTGGTGCCAGCGAGACTTGGTATACTCTGGGACATTTTTTGAGTGGCCTCAAACCTAAAACTGAAATTGAGTTTGAACCTGTATCAATCTGGTGAACACCACTCACTCCCACCTGGTGACTCATTGAGAACATACCCCATGCAATTTGAGTACCACCAGAGGCTCTGTCAGGGACTGAGCATAACAGGCAGGGAGCTGGCAAAGGCAGACCTCAGGGGTGCCCTGGGACTTTGGCTGACATAACTCTAAAGTAGGTCTTGGTGCACAACTTTATCCTTTTCACATACACCCAGGCCCAGCAGAGGTAGCCACAAACTGCATCACTTTGTAGCACCACGCAGGTAGCCAAGGGCCAGCCACAGGCAGCATCTAACACTGCCCCACACCAGAATCCTTCCCAAGAGGCTCCAAGACCAACACACCCAGTGGCAAGCTTCAGATAACATCAGAGAAGGATCCAATTAGCTTTACAAGTAGCATATCCAAAGGATGACCTAGGCAGGCAACAGACCTTGCTATACTGAATTTTGCTTCATGTAGTCAGCAACTGCACAATAGCTTATATACTTTAGTCAGAAACGATCCACACCATCAGTCAGCCCACACAGAAATAGACCAATGGCACTCAAAGCTAAATTACAACAGTACTTACAGGACCACACAGGGGACATTCCTGGAGCACCCAGCTCAAGTGTGCAAGGTGATTGTACCACTGGATCCAACAGGAAATCTACAACATACCACCTTAGCAAAGCTGAGAGTCACAGCAGATCTACCTAACACACAGAGACAAAAATAAAGAGACAGCAAAAATAAAGAGAAAAAGAAACATGCCCCCAATGAAGGAACAGGAAAAATCTCCAGAAAAAGAGCTAAATGAAATGAGGGCAAACAATTTATCAGATATAGAGTTCAAAGGAATGGCTGTAAGGATGCTCAACAGCATGAAGACAGAGTAATTAAAAAGAACCAGTCAGAAATGAAGAATACAATACGTAAAACGAATAATATACCTGAAGGAATAAACAGGTTAGATGAAGCAGAGGATCAAATCAGCAATTTGGAAGACAAGGTACCAGAAAACACACAATCAAAACAGCAAGAAGAAAAAGGAATTTAAAAAAATGAGGGTAATTTAAGGTACATTTGGGACAACATGAAGTGCAACAACATCTGCATCATACAATTACCAGAAGAGAAAGAGAGAGCGCACACAAAAATCAAGAATATGTTTGCAGAAATAATGACTAAAAACTTCTCCCTAACTTGGTGAAGGAAAGGCACACAAGTCCAGGAAGCCCAGAGAATCCCAAACAACATAAACCCAAAGAGGCCAACACAAACACATATAATAATTAATTTGGCATAGCTTAAACACAAGGAGAGAATCTTAAGAGAAAAGCAGTTAGTTATCCACAAGGAAGCTCTCATAAGATTACCAACTGATTTCTCTCGCAGCAGAAACATTTCACACCAGAGGGGATTAGCAGCAATGAAAAGCAAGGACCTACAACCAAGACTATTTTATCCAGAAAGGTTATCATTTAAAATTAAAAAAATAAAGAGCTTCCCAGACAAGAAAAAGCTATAAAGATGTTCATTACCACCAAATCAGTATTACAAGAAATGTTAAAGGGTCTACTTCAGGAAGAAAAAGTGAAGGAATTCAGTTGGAAGAATAAAATGGCAATAAATACGTATCTATCAATAACCACTTTAAATGTGAATGGCTTAAATGCTCCAATCAAAAGACAGGTTAGCTGAATGGATAAGAAAACAAGACCCACATAATATGAAGGTGGACCGCACATAAACAACAATTTATTTATTAAAAAATGTGTATTTATTCTCACATGTTTAAACTTCAGGATCCTTCACAGCACTCTCCCTTTGATGCAATACATCTACTGAGACTTTTTTTTCCCACTGCTCAAAACAGTTTTGAGCTTGTCAATTTTGATGCCTTTCAGTGCTTCTGCTGTTTTTGTTTCACCTCTTCCACATCCACAAAACATTTCCCTTTGAGGACTTTTTTTCATCTGGGGGAACTAAAAAATCTCACCAAGAGTAAGATTGGGTAGATAGGGAGAATGGGGCACAGGGGTCATGCCATAAAAACTGCTGAACACTCAGCAAGGTGTGGGCAGGTGCGCTCATAAATCACCCATCATGAAATGGGCAAATATGTTGAAAGAGTCTTCAAAAAAAATTCACTGAAGCCAAAAACAGCCTCTCACAACAACGCCAGCTGGTGCACTAACACAGACGGGTTCTTGGAACACTCACCCAGCAGGGGAAGCCTGTACCACAGGGGTCCGCCCTCCAGAAGATAATTCCAGGGGTTTTTGGGGACCCCTCTTCTACATGCTATCTCCAAGAGACCCATCTCACAACAAATGACACACAACAGACTAAAAGTAAAAGGATGTTAAAAGATATTTCATGCAAATGGGGAAAAAAAAAAGCAGACTTTCAAACAACAGACTTTGAAACAAAGGCTCTGGTAAGAGCCCTGGCCATCACGGCTCAGTTAGTTGGGTGTCATCCTGCAAAGTGAACGGTTGCGGTTCAATTCCTGGTCAGGGCACATACCTAGGTTGCGGGTTCGGTTCCTGATTGGGGTGTGTATGAGAGGTGTATGAGAGGCAACCCTTCGATGTTCCTCTCTCACATTGGTGTTTCTCTCCCTCTCCTTCCTCCTCCCTTCCGCTCTCTCTAAACAAAAAAAAAGGGGGGTGGCTATAGTAAGAGATAAGGAAGGACATTACATAATGATAAAGGGAACAATATGATGCTTTCTTTCTCACACTGATGTTTCTGCCTCTAAAATCAGTAAATAAATCTAAAAATAGTTTAAACCATGAATGGATTAACAATAAAATTGAGGAAGAAATCAAAATATACCTTGAAACATGGAAATGAGAACACAACAACTGAAACTGGGACACAGTGGAAGCAGTCCTAAGAGAGAAATTCATGGCAATACAGACCTCTCTTGAGAAACAAGAAAAGTTTCAAAGTTAGTAAACTAACTTTACACTTAAAGGAACTAGAAAGTGAACAACAAAGAAAGTGAGTAGAGAAAAGTAAATAATAAAGATCAGAGCAGAAATAAATGAAATAGAATATTAAAAAAATATATAAAAGATTGATGAAACCAAGAGCTGGATCTTTAAAAAGATAAACAAGAGTGATAAAATTTTAACTCACCATGAAAAAAGAAGGACGGACCCAAATACGTAAAACCAGAAATGAAGGGACACTGACACCAATGAAATACAAAGGACTGTGAGAAAATATCACGAACAACTGGACAACCTGAACAAACTGGATAAATTCCCAAAAATATACAATCTCCCAAAACTAAATTAGGAAAAATCAGAGAATCTGAATAGACAGATACACCTCGTGAAACTAAAGCAGTAATCAAAAAACTCTCACCAAACAAAAGCCCTGGACTAAATACAGCTTCACAGGGGAATTTTACCAAACATTCCGAGAAAAACTAATACCTCTCTTTCTCAAACTATTCCAAAAACTTCGAGAGAAAGAAAGACTCCCAAGCTCATTTTACAAGGCCAGCATCATCCTAATTCCAAAACCAGATAAAGACATTATAAAAAAGGAAATTATAGGTCGATATCCCTGAACATAGATGCTAAAACCCTCAACAAATATTAGCAAACCAACTACAGCAATACACCAAAAAGATCATACACCATGATCAAGTGGGATTTATTCTAGAGATGCACTTTACACTGAAAAAGACCTCACATTTACTTGGAAAAGTGGGTGATATAAAGAGTGCAGCCTGTAAATTATGACTAACTGATGGAAGGAGAGTTACTTAACAATGGAAATATTTTAACACCAGATGTGCTTAGGTGTGGCTCATAACACAGTGAACCAAGATAGTTGCTAGAAGTTTGAAATGTTGCATGACATAAAAACAAGCTCAAATTCAACAACAGAGAGGGAGTGGCAAGATTTAAGTATACATAGAAGAAATTTATATTACTGTGGTACCATGTGTTTAGAAGGGGAAATGGACAGGAATATATTTCAGAACAATGTATCAATACAGATGATTTCTAATTACACACTTATTAGCATTGTTAATAATAATTGTGGCAAATATCAAATGACAGAACAGGAAGAAGTTAGTTTAATTCCTATTACAAATAGGAATAAAGTTACTATTACTGTTTTATACTGTTAATGCTATGTAACCCTATTGGATACACAGACGTCTCATCAGAAAGCATGGAAGTCAGAAGGCAGTGGCATGACAAATTCTAAGTGCTGAAATTTAAAAAACAAAAAAGCCCCCTATAAATCAAGAATTCTATATCCGCAAAGGTATAACTCAAAAATGGATTCCCAAGAAAACAAAAACAGAAACCTTGTCTCTAGCAGAACTGAGCTGTAAGAAATAGTACAGTGGAAAAGAAATGACACTGCATGAGTAACTCAGGTCCACACAAAGAAATAAAGAACATCAGTAAAGATAACTACATAGGCAACACAAACAACAGTATAAATGTATTTTTATTGGTAACTCTTTTCTTCTAATTTAAAAGATATAAACCGATAAGTAAAACCCTCTGGGCTTAAACTATATAAAGATATGATTTTATGCAATAATAGCAAAACAGAAGGAAGAAAATGGAATTAAGTTGGTATCAATCCAAAAATATATTGTTTTAACTTATTATCTGAGTAATCCCCCAGAATAACTGCTAAGAAAAACCTCATAACTTCAAATGAGTTTCCCTAGGACCCAGCAATTCACGTCTTAGGAATCCACCCAGAAGAAATGAAAATACACCCACACAAAACTTTTACAAAATATCTGTAGCAACATTATTCATAATAGCCAAAAAAAGTATTTCTACTGACTGATGAGTGAGTAAAGGAAATGTGATATAACCTTAAGTAATGGGACATTATTTGGCAACAATAGGGAGTTACTGATAATGCCCCAGCATGAATGAACCTTGAAAACATGCAAAGATAAGTAAAAACCAAAAGGTTACATGTTATATGATTCAATTTACATGAAATGTCCAGTACAGGCAAATCTATAGAAACAAAATAAGTAAGTAATTGCCTAGGGCTGGAAGTGCCTGCTAATGGGCAGAGTTTCTTTTTCAGGTGATGAAAATGTTCTAAAATTAAACAGTTGGTAAGGATTGTGCAATTCTGTGAAACACTAAAAACTAACCGAAATGTATGTGTTTAAGGGTCAATTTTTATGGTGTATGTGAATTATGTCTCAATGAGACTCGATAAAAATCATTGTCTTTTAAATAAAACATAACAACCGGACTTCTGGTTTCAGTTCCGAGATGGAAAGAGCTTGAATTCTGTCACCTGTATCCTTACAACAGGGAAAATGGTGAACAAATTGAAAATCGACAACTCTTTTACAGTCATCAGAAAACCTGAGTTCCCAAGGTACATGTACATGCCTCTAGGAAAACTGAAGAGACAGAAAAGACAGAGAATCAAAATATCAGGAGCAGGAGCCTCTGAAGACAGTAACCGCTGGGCGTACTTGAAAAGTAACTGATGAACTGCTGGAGGCTGCAAACAAGCTTGAGCTTTAAAAGCCCTCCCATTTTCAAAAGCCTCCACATAGTCATGGGTGTTACCTTCAAGAGTTCTGCCAGTTTACCATCTGGAAAAATCTTCTTCCAGTTCTGCACTCCAGGACAGGAAAAGTAGATATGCTCAGAGCAATCTGTTCACCTCAACAAAGACCTGCCTCCAAAGGAAAGTACTTTATCAGGCCCTTATTTGGCCTAGAATAATAAGGACAATCAGACAACTCCAGTCTCAGCCAACTGTCCTGACTAAAGAAAGAGAAGGAAGGAAGGAAGAAAGCCTAAAACTCTTCTGAAGATCACAGCCCAGGGATGTTGATCCAACGCAACAACTGAGATTTAATCACAGGATTATAAAACACACTTCCATTCCTCAGTACCTTATCACCACATCAACAAGGCTACAGTATAATAACAGATGACAAGTGAGAGAGCTACAAGACACAGGCTCTAATTAAGGAATTTCCAGGGAACCCAAACAGCCAGGAGACAAAAAGGAGAAATGAAAAAATGGGAAGAAAATGAAGCCTCTGACACCTACAAACAATGCAAACACCTAGCAAACATTAAATGCATAACTTCAATAAATTTTGGCCAGATAATTATAGAACCTCACTGTAATGATCTATTTACCTGAGCTCCTATTACACAATAAATCATACACAGTTTTCAACAACAAAAAATTATATTGCAGAATAGAAAGCAAGACAAATTACAATCTAAAAAGACAAAACAAGCATCACAACCAAACTCAGATATGCAGAGATTTTGAAACTATAAAAATAAGAATTTAAGCCCCAGCTGATGTGGCTCAGTGGATTGAGTGTGGGCCTGTGAACCAGAGAGTTGCTGGTTCAATTCCCAGTCAGGGCACATGCCTAGGTTGCAGACCAGTTCCTTAGTAGGAGGCACATGAGAGGCAACCACACACTGGTGTTTCTCTCCCTCTCTCTCCCCTCTCTCTAAAAATAAATAAATAAAATCTTAAACCAAAAATAAGAATTTAAGATAACTGTGATTTATATGTTATTGGCTATAAGAAAGAACCAAAGCAAAATTCTAGAAACCAAAAACACAAATCAAGAATGCTTTCAGTGGGCTCACCATTAGACTAAACACAACTAAGGAAACAATCAGTGAGTGCGAAGATTCATCAGTGGAAATGTCACAAACTGAAATGAGAACGATAGAATACACAACAAAACCTGTGACACAACTATAAAAGGTGTGACACGCACATTTGGGGAATGTTAGAAGGACTGAAATATTTTAAGTAACAATGATTGAAAATTCCTCCAAAATTAATGACAGACACCAAATCAAAATCCCAGAAAACTCAAAACACAAAAGAGGTTAAAAAGAAAAAAACATCAAAATCTAGGTTTATTGTATTCAAATCACAAAACAGAAAAAAACAAAGTAAGCTAAAGGAGCTAAAACAAAACAAAACAACAAAATTCTGAAAAAATGCCTACATGAAAGGATAAAAATTATATCAGACTTCTCTTCAAAAAGAGAGTGTAGCGAATTATCTGAGTACTGAAAAAAGAAAACAAACAAAACCCCTACAATCCTACAATTTGATATACAATGAAACCTTCCTTCCAAAGTTATGGACAAATAAACACTTTATCAGCTTAACAAAAACTGAGCAAATTTGTTGCCAATCTGTTGCCTTGCAAGAAGTATTCAAAGTTTTTCAGAGAGAAATAAAAGATGAATGTGAGAAATTCAAATTACATAAAGAAAGGAAGAGGTTCAGAAAGAAAAATAAAATTTTTGCTTTTCTTATTCTAAATTGATCTCAAATAATTGTTCAAAAAATAACAGTAACAAAGAATTGTAACATTATGTTAATAGTTTATGAATAAGTGAAAAGATTGAGAGCAATATTATAAAACGTAGGAGGGAAGAATTGATTATAATCTGCTATAAAGCACCTGCACTGCCTGGAAAGTGGTAACATGTGATTCAAAAGATAGAGTTGTATCAGTTGGAATCATCTACTGCAAACTCCAGGGCAAGGACCAATAAAATGTAAAAATAAGTTAATTGATATCTTAAGGTAGGAGAGAACATGCAATTATAAAATGCTCAATTAAAACAAAG